ACCCTGGCCAGAACCTGGAAACAAACCAGATGACCCTCAACTGAGGAGTGGATACAGAAATTGTGGCACATTTACATAATATAATACTAGTCAGCAATTAAAAATAAGGAAATCATACAATTTGCATGCAAATGGTGGGACCTAGAAAAGATCATCCTCAGTGAGGTAACCCAGAAAGACACATAGGGTAAATACTCATTCATAAGTGGATATTAGCCATATAATATAGGATAAACATACTAAAATCTATAGTCCTAAAGAAGCTAAACAACAATGAGGACCCTGGGAAAAGAGGCTGAAACCTCACTCAGAATGACAAACAGGATAGATATCAGAAGTAGGAGAAGACAAGTAACACAACATTGTCACTTAAAAAATATCCTTAAAGCCCATCGAGGTGGCACACTCCCATAATCCTAGCACTCAGGGAAGCAGAGGCAGGTTGATCTTTGTGAGTTCAAGTCCAGCCTTATCTACAAAGCAAGTCCAGGACAACAGCCAAGGCTACACAGACAAACCCTGTCTCAAAAAAGAAAAGAAAATACTTTAAATATTAAATATTATTAAACTTTTCCTGATGTTCTTCTTCATGTAAAAGAATGTTGTTTACCAGTAGCTTAGTACTTCCTTGCTTTTGCATTTTTCCCATTGACTGCTTTCTTTCTGAGCACCTATCAATGCATGCAGATAAGATGAGAAGAAGTAAAAGGGGGTAGATAAAAGAAAAGGAGAGACTTGCATTTGTTTTGTGCAAACATATTTATAAATATGCTTTTATTTAACATGGCATTTGTTTTTATTTTATTGTGCTGTCCTGGACTCATTTTGTAGATCAGGCTGGCCTCGAATTCACAGAGATCTGCCTGCCTCTGCCTTCCTGAGTGCTGGGATTAAAGGCGTGCACCACTATGGCCAGCTCAATTTTTTTAAAAACCAAATTAGCACTACCAAAATTTAGGGGTCCCAGCATCTCTTTTTCTCTCAACACCAAGTTTCAATTTATTGACACTTATCAATCTAAGAGCTTTGAAGAATGAGACAGGGTGAGGCTGGTAAGCTCTTTGTTCCTATACCACTGGTCCACAAGAATCAACATCAGTTGGCTTCATGCCACTGTTTCACTGCTATGATTTAGACTATGCTAAAGCTCTAAATAGGACAACTAATAAAAATAATCACTATGGTACCACCTTAGTCAATGCAAAGACAGTCAGCACAAATAAAATGTGTATATATGAAAGTAGGACAACTGAGGGGTCTTATCTTTACCAAGCTATAAGATCTATTGTCCAGATTTTCTATTGGCAGCATCAGCATTCCTTGGCCAGAGGGCTTTTTTCTCCCACCAGAGCACACCTTGCTATGTGGCAGGCAGGGCACACATGTCTAGGTGCGACCCTCTACTAATGACTGATGATGGAGTTTTGTATATAAAATCCCCACGTCTTAGTTACTTTTCAATTACTGTGAAGAAACACTATGACTAAGACAATTCATGAAAGAAAGAGTTTATTGGGCTTTCAGTTTTAGATCGTGATTCCATGACCATCATGGTTGGGAGCATGACAGCAGGCAGAAAGTCATGGTGCTAGGGCACTAATCAAGAGCTGACATGTTGAGGCAACAGCCACAAGGGAGAGAGAGAAGGAGAGAGAAGGGGGAGTGGGAAAGGGAGATGGGGAGAGAGAGATAGTGAGACAGAGAGAGAGAGAGAGAGATTTAACTGAGAATAATGTGGGCTCTTAAAAGCTTAAAGCCCACTTCCAGTGGCATAACTGCTCCACCAAGACCACACCTCCCAATCCTTCCCAAGGAACTCCACCACCTGTGGATCAGGCACTAAAACATATGAGCCTATATGGGGGCCCTTCTCATTCAGACCAGGATACCCCATCTTCTTCAGTGGATTAAACTGACGTGTGCTTTCCACTGGTCTCTAGAGTTTATTAGTGACAGACTAAGTTCTAGTCACTCTTAGCATTTTTGAAACCCTTAGTGCCTTTATCCTTGACTTGCCCTCCTTGTGATGGTATGTGCTTCCTAGAATTGCTTCCTTCATACTACTTGAACTCAACTCCTTTTCCAAGGCCTGCTTCTTATGAAACCTAAGACTTGTATTGTCTGATGAATAAAGAGGATGGATTACTACAGTCTGTGCTTCCCTCATTATTCTCAAAACGATTTAGAGCCTGGAAGCATTTTTCTCCTTGGGGAATTCATTCAGCCAAAAGGAATGCACAATATGAAAATCTTCCTGCTCTCTGATTGCTCTAGGCTCCATTTTGTTGTTAAACGGGTTTCCAGCTATTGTACTAGATTGCTATGATCTGTAACTCTTCACTCATACTTGCAAGTAAGGCCTTAAAACCAAAAACCAAGGGGCAGGAAAATTCTAAGAGCTGGAAGTAGTGGCTACCTGCCATGAAACGTTAGTGGCTGATGGAACAGGTATAACACCCACATGAACTCACTGTGACTATGACTTCCTTCACAAGGCCAGCACAAGAGCAAGTCAGCTGAAATCACTGCTTGAATTTTGGGAGAGTTTAAAAAAAATCCAGCCCTATTTAAGAAGCTTCTTAGACAATTCATGGCTTCAGAGGGGAGAGAGAGTAAGTTTTAGTTCTGGGACACTGCCCCTGAAAGACTAGGCATGGTCCAGCTCACACATTCACAGGCAGCGCCAAGTGGACTCAGTGGATGTGGGGTCAGGGGGAAGACAAGAGAAGTTGCAAAGGAAATGTAGGGGAGCAATTGGAAAAGACAAATGGAAGGTAGATTTGTTGAGAATATATATATATATTGGTAAAATTCTCAATGAAAATTATATGAAATTGCTGGGCAGTGGTGGCTCATGCCTCTAATCACAGCACTTTGAAGACAGAAACAGGCAGATCTCTGTGAATTCAAGGCTAGCCTGTCTACAGAGTTCCAAGATAGCCAGGGCTACACAGTGAAGACCTGTCTTGAAAAACCAAAAATAAAATAAAAATTATCTGAAAAAAAAAGTCATAGATAAACCTGTTAGAAAACAACTTTCATTGGCCCATGAGCACTAGACTCTGGCTTTACTCTTAAATGTGTGTGTGTGAATATAGTTAAGGACATAGAAAATTAATATGGAAGCTGAAAACAAATTTAATACCAAAGGCAGCTGAAAGGGATAATAAAGGGACAACTTTAAAATTATTACTTATTCTCTGATGGATGAGAAAATATTACATCAATGAAGCAAAACTATTGCATCACAAGAAAGGGGCAACTTAAAGAACAAAAGAGAACTTCAAAAACAAACAAACAAACAAACAAAAAAAACCCAAGGCCCCGAAAATACAAGATGAATTTGAGAGATTCTCCAAGAAAGAGCAAAAAGATAAATTTAGAAAACTGGAGTGTGAAAGCGATGATTGCAAATGTTTTACATCTCGAGCCCAGGTAGAAGGGATCCCTTCCATCGGCAGTTGAAGAGGCTAAGCTGAATGATCCAAAGCTGAAAATTAGTGACCTGGTTATATCTGAATAAAATAAACAAAATGTATGCAAGTTTCTCAGGCCGAGAATGAATGTAGACATACTAATGTAGGCAGCTCTTTCAGGAGTGTAGATAACTCATGCAAAGCCAGACAGTGGATTGAACAAAAATTAATAGAAAAAAGGGGGAAGTTAAATGGTAGAGCAAACTGAACCTGTGACAGAGGAGGTGTGTTGGGTGGGGGTGAGATCTGGGGAGGGAGGGGTCTGACGTGAGAGAGAGAACAGATGGATTCAATTTCTCCAAGTTTCCAGAATGAATTAGACTCCATTTAGCAACATGAGCAATGAATGAGAACAGGCAGGCAGAAGATGTGTGTTTGAAGAGGAGGGTAGGGGGAGGAATAGAGATCACAAGTGTAATCAGTTGTCATTTGGTGTCAAATAGAGAGATGAAGTTCCTATCTTCATTGACAGAACTTGTTAGGGTCAGAGCAGCGCAGGCGAGGTAACAAGTGGCTTGTCCTCTACAGGCTAATTAAAGAAACAAGCAACACTGAGGCACAGGAAGGCGATGATTTCGGTGTATGCACCCTGGGAAAGGGAACAAATAAAGAGGTCCCTTGAAACGGTTCCCTACAGTCTACGTTTGGAGTTCTGACATGAGATTTAGATTTAAATACCTGAAGACAAGAGATTTCCACAGTTAAGTAGTCCTGGTCAAGGTGTGTGCTTATCACTCACTCACTCACGCATCTTTGTCTCAGAACCAGTCTGTCCTGCAAAGGGGTCCCACAAGTGTTGAGAATAGGAGCCTCTTAGTAGTAGAAAGAGCACAGTCAAAGGTGGGAATCTTTGCTCCTTCTAGGAGCTAGAGGTGAACCACATTAAAACACACACACACACACACACACACACACACACACAACATTGGTTAACCATTATGGCGCAGGCTTGTAATTCTAATCCTAACATTCAAAAGGCTGAGGCAGGAGTACCACGAGTGCAAGGCCGGCCTGGACTACGTGGCGAGACCCTATCTGCAAACAAAAAGGGGATTAATATCTCTTCAGGGGCCTGAGCCTTTGGCCTAGAGGTAATAAAATCAGTGGTGAGCTGTGCGCAAAATACTTGGTGACAGCAATCGCGGACAATCTCTTTTTTTTAATAAGTGCTCTGGGCTTGCCGCCAAAGACAAGAGATGCCTGTTCAGTCGGTGGTGGTAAAGTTAGTCAATGTGACAAAGCCCGAGGCGTCGGGGCGCGTGTGTAGAGGGGCGGTGTCTCAAAACTTCCTAGTGGTACAGAAGAAAGCGCACAGCACACGCAGGCGCAAAACCAGCCGTCTCAGCTCAAAGGCGGCGGGAAGCTGCTCTCGGGAGCAGGAACTGAGCAGCCTGCAGAGCGATTGGAGCCCACGGACTAATAAACAAGCGTCTGATTGGCGTAGCGTGCGCAGGCGCGAGTGCTCCAGCTCTCCATTGGGCCCTTCCTGGCCGAGGGGCGTGGCTCCAGGGCTCCGCCCCTCGCCTAGGCCCAGCCTCGGGGTCCCGGGCGGAGGACTCCAGTGTCCGCGGGTCCGCGTCTCCGTGCTTCGCTGTGGTGCCGGCTGCCCGGAGCCGGGATGCGCTGCGCCTGCTGCGGGTCCTCATCATGGAGACCAAACGCCTGGAGATTCCCGGCAGCGTCCTGGACGATCTCTGCAGGTAGGAGTGGCTCCCCTCCGCCTCCGCGTCCCCTCAGCCCAGGGGAGGGCCCGACCTCTGTTCTCCCTCCTCGGCTCGGCCTCCTTATTCCCGGGCCCCACTTTGCGCCCCAGCCTTGGCCCTCCACCAGCCCTGGGTCTCAGCACTGAGCCCCGGACTCGGCTCTTCCGTCTTTGCGCTCGGCCTTGACCTCCATCCCACTCCCTCCGCCCGGTTCCCGCGTCCTCGGCCTCGGCCCTGCCTCATTCCCGGGTTCCGCTTTGCGCCCCCGAGTCGGCTCTTCCCCTTTCCCCGGCTCCTTTGCGCCCCGGGCCTCGATTCTTCCCCATCCCTGGGTCCGGCTTTGCGGTCCGGTCCTCGCTTTTGCCCAGCCCAGGGTCTTCCGCAGTCCCGGTCCGGGCTCTCCCCTAAGTCCCGCTTTCCAGCCCTGCTAGCTGGAGTCCGACGCGCATCCAGTCCCCGAAGTCTTTAGGTTTCTCTTTCTCTTAGCCCCTCCACCGTGTAGCATTGGAATCCTTCATTACTTACGTCTTTCTTTCCTTTTCTCTCTTTTACTGGTTTTTCGAGACAGGGTAGCCTTGGTTGTCCTGGACTCGCGTTGTAGACCAGTCTGGCCTCGAACTCACGGAGATCCCCCTGTCTCTGCTTCCCTGAGTTCTGGGCTTACAGGCGTGTGCCACCTCCCCCGGCTGGAATCCTTCTTTTTTTTTTTTTTTGCCTGTGACTTTAATCTATGGTTTTCTTCCTCTTCCCTTCGACTTTTCTCCAATTACGTAGGTAGAACCCACAGATTTAATTTCAGTTTTGTGATCTCCCTGGAACAACACAGGGAGCAGTTTTCTGACTGAGGCTTTCTTCGCATGTTTGCCCGTGACATTTTCTGTAAAGAATTAATTATTCTTTCCAGAATTTTCCCGGATTTATCTTTGAGAATTTGAGGAGACATCCAAGACTTCCTTCCCTTTAATCTCTTGATTCTCTAATTTGCAAGGAAATATTCATCCCCTGGGTCTTCACAGGAGTGAATTTCTGCGGTCTTGTCAAGCTGTAATTGCAGCCGGCCAAAAACACGCCCATGGTATTTCCTCGGTCGAAGGAAAGTTCCTGGTACATTGTTACTACCCAGTCGTTGCTAATGCGTTTGGACTGTGAAATAATTTATTAGATTGTGAATGCCGGCCTGTATTCACTTCCAGTCACCGTATCTGTGCTTAAAAACGAAACAGGGCTGTGCCACATTCAAGCTGTTTGCTTTTTTATTTTATTTTTTTAAAAAGTTTATTTCTAATTCTGTGTTTTGCGGTTGGAGAGCACATATGTGTGCAGGTATCTGCCCAGGCCGGAAGAGGGTGTCTGTTACCTGGAATTAGAGTTGGAGTCCTTGTGAACACCTGAAAGTGGGTGCTGGGAACTGAACTTGAACTCAGGCACTCTGAGCCATCTCTGCAGCCCCTTGCACGGATTATAATTTTAAGGGACAGAATTTGTTCGTGAAGATTTTGTTGGTGTTCCCCTCACGCATATTGAAACAACTCTAGTTGGTGCGGGGATTTCCATTTTTCTCTGGACAGATTTGAGGATTGATTTATACATATATCCTAATTTTGGAAATCAAGATTTGGAATCTTTTTCCTCTACACCATGTGAATGTAATGAGAAGTCAAGTCAAGCATTTTAAACGTTGCAGAAGTACATGTAGAATAAATTCATAGACCAGTTGTATAGTTAATAAGCTCTCAGCACTCAATGCTGTTACTCAACCTGTCCATTTAGATACTCTCCATTTCCAGAGTATCTGACTCTCTTCTGAGCTCTGTGGGCACCAGGTACACGTAGTACAAACAAGCAAAAACTCTTATCGTGCATACTTTTAAAGAAAGAATTAATGTCATTGTAATTCTTTGGTGTTGGAGGAGTTACAATTTTTGTTAATATGGTATTTGTGTCCATAAAAGTTACAAGGAATTTATTTTCTGTAAGAAAATATTTTAGTAATATTTATTTTAGTAAGAAAACAACAGTGCAATAAAAATCATTGGAAGAATTTGAATTTAAAGTGGGATTACAGGGTTGTGATTTTTATTTTCTTTAGTTTTCCCAGTGTGTTTGTTTTCACAGATGCACACTTTATCGTTGGAAAAACCTAAGAGTATGGGAAAGGGATTATGTGTAGGTTAATAAGGATGTAAGTTGACATAGAAAAGGATCAGGTAACTTTACACTTTTTTACAAGCATCTACAACTAGTCTTCCTAGGAGTATTTAGGCTAGTCTGTGTATTACCTGGGATTACATCATTTGAAGAAGTGATATTAGCTGTTGTGAATATCGTGTGGCTTTGTTCACAGAATAATTACATTCTGATGTGCAAGGAGTGTGTTAAACACCTAATAAGTGTCAAAGTGGTTGGTTCCAGGGAATGCTTAAGCTACTTTCTTAAATAAATCGTATCTTTTTAGCAGAGTGTGGTGCTCAACTGTTAGGGCTAGATGGTTGATAAACTAGTAACTAAACCAGCTGACCATTTCTTTAAACTAAAGATCTTAAAGTAATAGTTTTCAGATTGCTGTTTGTCTCTTTTGATTGATTTGTTTGTGGTTATATGTTAAAAATTCAAGCTCAAGTGTGAAACGCAAGCCGTAAGAGAATTACTATTGGAGGAATTGGGTGGTTGTCACTGTGCATGGTGGAAAGTTGCTGCTGTCCTTCCATCTTTCCCTGGGTTCTGTGGATATACCTCAGGTCTCCAGGCTTGCCATGCAGGCCTAGCTATCTCCCCAGCCCTTTTGTTTGCTTTGTATTACAGTTGTTTGGATTGCGATTCTCCAGCATAGTGCTTTTCAACCTTCCTAATGCTATGACCCTTTAATTTAGTTCTCCTGTTGTGGTAACCCCCAACCATAAAATTATTTTGTTGCTACTTCATAACTGTGATTTTGTTACTGCTACCAACATCATAATGTGGTACTTGCTATGCGACTCTAAAGGGGTTGCAGCCCACAGGTTGAGAACTGCTGCCCAGCACATCGACCTTTCTAATGTGTCCACGATTGCAGTTTCTTGCATCCCCACCCTCGCCCCACTCGTTTCTCTACCATGTCCTTATCCACGCTTCAGTTATAAAATGTGCTGTGTAGGATCTTTTTTCTCTGTAAACTTTCTGCTGTGCTGAGAAAAGAAGTATGCCAGAGGCATGAGGATAAAGTTAGTTTTCAGCCCCAACAGACACAAATTTCTATTCAAGAAAATAATGCTTCAGAAACAGAAGTTGAGTAAAAGAGGTTGAGTTCTTAGAGGACACCCCCCCACACACACACACCTCCATGAAAGGGAATTGGAATTCTTTTGTAACAGTTAATCTTGGGTGTGCAATTTGTATGCTGTCCATATCTACGTGGATATTTTACTGTTTTACTGAGTAGCAGACTAAAGATTTTGAGACAGGGTATCGTGTTTGTCAGGGCTGGCCTCTGACTTCATGAGATAGGGTGTCAATTGTACTATGGTGGCCTCTGACATTATACAGCTAAGGATGAGCTTGCATTCCTCATCTTGCTGTCTCTACCTTTTAGGCATGTGTGCCACCTTGTCCCATTTATTAAGTAGTAAATTTTATAGCACTAGTTGTCTTTTGTTACTGGCCATCTGGGATAGGTCATTAGGAGTTAGGCTCCATGTGTTTTTATAAGACCATCACAAGCCAGGCTCCCAGTAATCAAGGACTGATTGTTAATAAAAGCCTGGCTTAAGAGGCTACAATCCGACAAGACTGTCCTCACAGCTGGTGGGTGAGAAAGCACAATAGTATTTGCTTATGAGAGCTTGAGTTATGAGTTTGGCTGTGAGAGTGTTAGGGGTGATAGGTTCAGGCTTGCTGGAAACGTGTGCAAAGAGAGGTGGTTACTTAAATAAATTTGGATGGAGTGGCTGGGTGAGGGTTGCCTTCCAGTGAGGAGTTGAGACCCAGCAGAGGCGTCGGTCATCTGCAGGCACTGAGCTGTGTTACCTGAGGAGATAGGGGCCTCTAGGAGATGATGTAGGGGGTGTAGATGTATATATGGGTTGTGAGTAGGAGTTCTTTTATGAGAACAGGCCATAAAGATAGGCAAAAGTAGGCTAGGGAGGGCCTAGAGAGATGGCTCGGTTGTTGAGAGCACTTGTTGCCCTTCCAGAAGAACTAGGTCCAATTCTCAGCACCCACACGGCCACTAATAGCTGTCTGTCATGCCATCTTCTGGCATTTGTGAACACTGCGTGAATGTGTACAGGCGTACATGTAGGCAAAGTACTTGTCCGAGCACATGAAGTAAAAACCCAGAAATTACTGCCTAGCCCACCAGTAATACTCTGTATCAAGAAATAAGCTGGAAAGTTGGGTATGGTGGTACATGCCTTTAATCTCAGCATTCAGGAAGCACAGGCCAGCCTGGTCTACATGGTGAGTTCTAGGACAATGAGTTCTCAGAATGGAAAGAAAGAAGCTGGAGAGTGACACCTAATGTCAACCTTTGCCCTACACTTTGCATGCACACCATCACTCATGCACAAGTCATAAGATGGAAGGCAGGTGGGAAGTTGGGATGATGGGAGTGATTGTGAAGATGAGAGTAAACCCATGCCCAGTAGGCACATGTTGTTTCAGGTAAGTGGTGACCTTGGTCCAGAACAGTCTTAAGTCTTCCTGAAGGAAATGCTGAAGATGATTTAACTAATTGGGGTTGGTTCCTGTAGAATGTCTAGGGAATGAGAGGTGAGGGCTTTTAAAATTATACCACAGAATTAAAAAAGATGGGAGAATGGATCCTGGCCACCCACTGGGGTCTAGAGGTAATAGAAGCTACAGGCTTACCCAGGTCTCGGCAGAAGAGAAGACAGATCTAGAAGTCAGTAGTTTTTAGCATCTGGGGGATGACACAGACTCTGCTGTTTGATTGTAGTTGGACGTATGAGGTGGACTTGATAAGATTCAGTCTGATCAGGTTCCAGTGGACTTTTACCCTA